ATCACCTCATACCTAGACTGTTGCAATAGTCTTATGACTGGTCTCCTTGCCTCCAATCTCTCCCTATACTAGTCTACTCTCCACACATATTTCAAAGTGGTCTTCCTAAAATGCAGCTCTGACTATGTAATCCTCCACCCCCTACTTAATAAATTCCAGTAGCTCCCTATCACCTCCAGGATCAAACATAAAATCCTATTTGATATTTAAAGCCCTTCATAACCTGCCCCACCCTCACCTTTCCAATCTTCCTGCACCTTATTCTCCACCCACTCACCACCTACTTGGAGATCCAGTGACACTGCCTTCCTTGCTGTTCCTCAGACAAGACCCTCCATCTCCCCAACTCTGGGCATTTTCCCTGCTGTCCCCCAAGCTGGAAATGTTGTCCCTCTTCATCTCTGCTTCTGGGCTTCCCAGTCTTCCTTCAAGTCCCAGCTAAAAACTCGCATTCTACAGGAAGCCTTTCCCAATCCCTCTTAATTTTAGAGACTTTCCTCTGTCAATTATGTCTAATTCACCCTGTGTGTAGTTTTTTTGTACATAGTTGTTTTCAGGTTGTCTCCACCATTAGACTTTGAGCTCCTCAAAATCAGAGACTGCCTCTTGCTCCTTAGCACAACACCTAGCACAGAGTAGGCACTTAATAAATGTTTGACTGATAGCTCAGAAATTTTTATTTTACCCTTGTCAAGGACATTAATCTAGGAGGTAATATTTATGTACTAGCTTAACAAAAACTGCTAGATGTGTTTTGTGGGGCATTTTCACACACCTTAGTTTTAAGACACAATTTCTCTAAGCCTCGGTGTCCTCTTCTGTAAAATGAATGGGCTGGATTACATGGCTTCTAAGCTACTGGGTTTTATTACGATTGGTTCTCAATCTATTACCCTAAAGCAGGCATTATTAACCTTTTTTGTATGTCAGGGACCCCTTTAGCAGGTTGCTAAAGTATAGGTACACCTTCTCAGAATCATGTGTTAAATGCATAAAATACATTACAAAAGAAATTATATTAAAATATAGTTAACAAAACATTAAAAAAAAAATTCACAGACCCTAGGTTAAGAACCCCAGCCCAAAGAGATAAGTATACTAGTTCAAACAGCTTATTTCTATAAGTTTACAGAAGATTTTTTAAAAAATAATGTAACAGAGGTTACATTATTTTATATATACTATATACATGTATATTATATATATCACATATATAATATAACAGAGATAACAATAACAATTAATCATTCCAACAAAAATTTAAAGATAAAATTTGCCACCAATCATCTGCAGAGTTAACCATGTTGCTTCTGAAATTTGTACCAAAAGATTCTCAGCAATATTAGAAAACAAAAATGGTATAATGTGACCAAAATCTATAGACACAAACTCATTTAAAAATGTATTAAACAACTTTTATTCAGACTTCTACCTCTAAAATTGCATCCTGCTGTCAATCTATTTAATGTCAAAGTCACTTATAAAGCAACGAGATACTAGTGATAATGATATTTAATAAAGGAAACAACTTTCTAGAAATGTTATCATTTAGTGCCATCTTGTGGAAAATATTAAAGTAACATAAATTTATAATGTCAAACTTCAAATTTGCCTATAATGCAAAATTGATACACTAGTCATTCAACAAATACTTTGTACTAAATATACTGATTAGCATATTCAAGTCTTGAAAAATACTCGACACGTTTAATGTTCTAAGTAAATCCTATTACTTTTAAAGTAAATTACATAGTGATATTGAAGGTAGAGCCAGAAAGACCTGGATTTCAATCCTGCTTCTGACATTTGCCAGTTGTGTAACCATGGGATCATACAAAATTCAGTGATAACTCTGAATTACTTCTCTGAACCTCACTTTCCTCATCTGTAAAATGAAGGTGATTCCAGTGATATCTACCTCACAGAGTTTATTTTCTTATATTATTACATGTGTTACAACATTGAGATTTTTGTATTTGTCATATCCTTCTGGGAAAACTATGAGCCTAAAGTTGTCTCTGTTCATCTTGTTTTCCAGGTCAATTGTTTTGGTTTACATATAACTCATGAGTTCTTTTAAGGTTTTAAAGTTGACTTTTGCTTCTCTTTTGCTAGATTTCACTATTTGTGTTTGTGTTCCAAATTTATGAATCTCTCCTTTTACTATAGACTCTCCATTAGGGGTTCAATCTTTCTTTTTTTCTATTGTGCTGAGTTTTAAAATTTTTGTATAGGAAACTATAAGTTCTGGTCTATATTCATTCCTAATTTTTTCTTTTGTAGATTTCATTTCACTTTTGAAATATCATGGGGTTTCCTGTTATTCAGGTCTTTCTTAAGAGTCCACAGGATTTTGTATTTCATCAGTCACTGGTTCATTTTCCTTTATCTTAAAATATTTGTCAAGAGAACTATGTGTTCTCTTTGAGGATTTACTATTAATTTTATCATTTGGTTGTAGGATCCTCAGTGTTGTTTTTATTAAGAGTTTTTTCCTTAAAATAAATGTTATTTTAGATTTTTTGTATTCCCCCATCACTCATTTTCTGGCCCCTTTCCCCTTCGCTGGTAGGTTCAGGACGGGAATGGGCTACTTCAGCCTACTTGCTTTGGGGGATCTAGGGTTTGTAGGACTGTGTCCCTGCCCTGAATACCTTTCCAGAAGACCAGACTGGCTTCAGCTGGGTTTCAGTGCCCTTTCCCAACCTCTAACTCTAATTCTTCCCCTGGACCTCCTTTACTTTTCCAGCAGAGATAAAAGTGTCCACTGCTTTTTTCAAGATGGAAGGATGGTGAAGAGGGTGTTTCTGGGCAAATTCTCTGTAGCCTTGTGGGTCCCTAGTCTAGGACTGGGCCCCAGTCAGAAGGCAGCATACTTTCAACCCACTCTCCCTTCCTCCTCAGCTATATATGGATTTGGCAGAGGTAGGAGTGCTGTTTCCTGTAGAGACTCTGCAACAGGAAGAGGAGAGAACTCCCAAGATGGACAGAAGGACCCACACTTGCAAGGCAGCTTGTGTACCTGCAAGTGTACCTGCCTTGTGCGAGGCAAGCAGAGAAGCTGGCAGGGGAGGGGTTCTGAATACTGACTGCTTTAAGGATTAAAGTTCTCTGGTGTTAATTCATAAAGATTTTACATTTGGGGGTTCTCTCTTCTCTGTTCTATGAATTCAGCTGTACTTGTTCTATATTTGAACATAATTGCTTTTTTTTGGAATGGGAGAGGACTAAAGGGGTCTGGAAACAGTGATTAACCTTCCATCTTCCTGATCATTTGACCTAGCACAGTGAGTTGTTGTTAGGCTCAAATGAAATAAGGTACAGAAAAATTTTTGGTTTAAATACTTAATGCTATATAAATGTCAGCTAGTGCTATTGGTATTAATCTATGATCAGTCAAAAAAAATAAAATTATATGTTTTTAGTGGCACTTTATTACAAAGATGCACATGCTTTCACCTCTTGGGTTAATCCTTTTACTGATGCAGATTGTAGCCCCTTTACACCTTAGTAGATGGTTTAGTGAATTGCTGTAGTCAAAAAATTGGATGAGCTGCCACACAACTTTCTGGGAAAGAGTCTCTCTGAAGCCAGTGAAGCTAGTCCTTAGATCATACACTCCATCCTGGGCCAATACTGAAAACTTTCGCAGCTCGGGAGGATTTCTTCAGTGTGGGCACACATCTGCATAACCTTTAGAAGCTCCATGCCACCAAGAGGCACTACAGCAGGGCTTTATGAGATGGGAACTCAAATAATACATTAAAATAGTAATAGCAACTCTACGTTATGGAGTGTTTTAAGGCTTAAAAAGTGTTTTATATACATTATCTCATTTGATACTCAATATTATTTTCTTATATTATTACATGTGTTACAACATTGAGATTTTTGTATTTGTCATATCCTTCTGGGAAAACTATGAGCCTAAAGTTGTCTCTGTTCATCTTGTTTTCCAGGTCAATTGTTTTGGTTTACATATAACTCATGAGTTCTTTTAAGGTTTTAAAGTTGACTTTTGCTTCTCTTTTGCTAGATTTCACTATTTGTGTTTGTGTTCCAAATTTATGAATCTCTCCTTTTACTATAGACTCTCCATTAGGGGTTCAATCTTTCTTTTTTTCTATTGTGCTGAGTTTTAAATAATAAGAAGGTACTATAAAAATCAGTCCCTACATCAGGAAGAATAAAGAGCCTGGAAATCGACTTAGCCAGCAAACATTTGATCTTGTCAAACATTGAGATGTAACAGCCAAGGGCAACTGATAGCTGGTCTCCTTGCCTCCAATCTCTCCCTATACTATATTATCTCTCCCCAAAAACCCTCCCCTCTGCCTAACTCTCTATTACTATTTAGGTTACCATCATCCTCCCAGTCACCCAGGATCACAATCTCATCATCCTCAACTTTTCACTCTCATCCCCCTCCACCCCATATCCATCTGTTGCCAAGTCCTGTTGATTTTACCTTCACAACATCTCCCTATACATGCCCCACCTTTGCTCATCTGAGAGGCCACTACCCTGATGCAGACTGATACAGACTGCTTTAAGGATTAAAGTTCTCTGGTGTTAATTCATAAAGATTTTACATTTGGGGGTTCTCTCTTCTCTGTTCTATGAATTCAGCTGTACTTGTTCTATATTTGAACATAATTGCTTTTTTTGGAATGGGAGAGGACTAAAGGGGTCTGGAAACAGTGATTAACCTTCCATCTTCCTGATCATTTGACCTAGCACAGTGAGTTGTTGTTAGGCTCAAATGAAATAAGGTACAGAAAAATTTTTGGTTTAAATACTTAATGCTATATAAATGTCAGCTAGTGCTATTGGTATTAATCTATGATCAGTCATAAAATTTCATAAACTCATTTTAAATCTAATTAGTAAACATGTGTTTAAAAGGAAATGTGCAGTAAATTCAGAAAAACTTATTTTGTGATGACCAACTTTACATTCAACTAAAACTTCTATAAAAGAAAAGTCTTATTCGTGCTTACACTTTTTTCTGATGCATGAATGTCTGTATTTCCAAGAATAGTTCCCAGACAGATCACTTTTCCTCCTTTTGTTTGAATATGTAATTTTTTACTCTGAAAAACAATTTGTAAAAGTTTTATTCTCTTTGGGAATTATAATTCTAACAAACAAAATTCAGCAATTTAGATTTTTTTTTGTCTTACCAAAGGATTTAATTGCAAAAGTTAAATTTATAAACATGTCATATGTAATCAGACTTCCATTGATTTTAGCCATAACGAATAGCTAACACCCACAAGTAAGCTGGAAGTAATTCAAAAAGTTCAATGAACAGCTATAAAGACCATGCACTTTATTATATGAAAGAGGGGCAAAATTACCTTCTTCATGCTCAAGTACAAAAGATGTTTGACTTAATTTTACAAAGAATATTTGGGAACTTTGAGGTTTACTTAAGGACACAATGAGATACATCATGACAGAGAAGCCATAGATAGTAGGTATGGCAGAGAGGGAAAAAAAGGGGAGTGGGTATGTCTGAGTGCGTATGTGGTGCATGTATGTGCATGCATGTAATGTGTATATTGGGGAAGAAATTAAGACTTCAGTGAAAAAAGAAGAAAATTTGCCATAATGGAAGGCAAACAAGAGCAAATATCCCTGTATACTTCAATATCCCCAGAGGACATCACTAAAGAGACAGCAAAAATAATTTAAAAAGCATAGCACCAAAAAAAAACCCAGCAAAGCATCAAATTTCACAGAACGTAGTTAAAGGAATGAATGAAGCCCTATGTGTTAATTGTAGAGGATACAAACAGAATGGAAGAGAGCTCCTGCACTCAAGAAGCAAGGGGAGAACAAACATATAGTGAAGGGTGCAATTGTGTGTTATACTGGAAGGTCCCACGATCCTTAGGATGCAGTGGTCAAGCAGTCTTTTCTGTAATGTCATTTCCACTGATAAAATCATATCAGTTTCTGATGCTCAACCATTTAACACTGGGATGAAAGTATTGTTAAGTTAAAGAAAGTAAGCAAGTTAAGCAAGTTAAACCACCCCTGAGGGGATTACTATACATTACTGAAAAGATTTTGGTCCATGGTTATGAATTTAAAAAAAGGTTCAATTCCATTCAGGAACTTGTCTCTTTTCCCATAGGAACCTCCTTGTACCAGGATCTACTGCTACTCTGCCTAGAGTCATAGCAACAGTGCTCTAACCCTCTTTAATATCGCTAAGGACTGGATTAGACTTCAAGAACCTACTGCTGTGTGAGGAGCTACTTCCTACTTCACTTCAGCATATGGGAAAATTCCTCATCCTTCCATAACTATTACGCCTCCAAACCACAGGATTTTCACCACCAGTACCTTTGCTCCATCCCCATGACCATACCCTCAAGCACCAGGCTTTTCACTGCCAAGACTTCGTCTAGGAAAGGGATTTCACACACGAGGCTAAGAACTGAGTGCATACTCTGCTTGTCAGGGATCTTCAGGCCCTGTATCATCCAGCTCCATCTGGGAATGTAGCAAAGAAATTGGTGCTCAACGTTAAGTTCAGTAAAGTCCCTAGGGAACTGGTCACCAAGCATGTACTGACCTGGATGCTTAACCAGATCTTCTTTCTTCCATTGTCTTCAGGCCATAACAAACCCACCATGTGTGTTACCCAAGCCAAATGATACTTCCCCATCCTATAACTAACAAACTCTTACCTCCTCCTCTTCTAATCACTGAGTTCAGTCATGAGGTTCCTAGAAGAAATTCAATTGCCCTATTATTTCTCAATCATCTCAGCCCAAACCTTCTCCCCACTTTCACTGTGCCCTCTGTAACCCCTTTTCTATTGACCTTTTCCTTTGTCTTGGGCCTCTTCCTGTCATATTCTTTCCATCTCCTTTCACTACAGAAACCCAACTCACTCCAGAAAAACACTGTACCCTGTACCACTCTCTCAGTATTGGATATTCCTGTCATGCCCAGTGACACATGAAGAAATGGGCATACTTCTTGCTCTTTGTTGCAACTTTTAGATCCTCTCTCTGTTAGCATAACTTAATAATAGTCTCCCCTCTTTTGAGGTTCATTAATCTGTCTGTTTTATCCTCTCCTATCCAAATCCTTGTTGCAGTCATCTAGCCAGCTTCCAGGCCATTCTCTCTCCATTCTCAAGGAGTTCAGTACTGAACTTATAGCCCTCCTCTCTACCCCAATCCCTTAAGTTCCACACTCAGGGATATTCCCTACAACACACTAAATACCTAGTTCATCAACTTTCTGAACTCTGATGACCCACATTGTCACTGCATGCCTCACTTGATATTAATAATCAGATTGTCATCAAAGTTATTTGTATTGTTATATCATTCAGTGAATCTTGTATGATTTTAACATGCCTGGAAATATCACACTAGAAGACAGCTGTTCTATCTAATCAAAATCTTTTTAATAGGGAAAAAAAAAAAACCTTTGTGGGATCATGTATTCTTTCCATCATCTAGCCAGCTGTATGCCTGCAAAAATGTAGTCCGCTCTAGAATATCACCGGCAAAAGTCTGACTGTTCCCTTCTTATGCCTTCATCAAAAATGTCCTATACATGGATAGATTATTCTTTAAAATCATACATAGAAACAGGAAAGTAGGCATACAAAGTTGCCTATATCACTAATTATGTGATATTTTTTCAAGTATTTGGTATCCCCCAATGTCTACAAAATGATGTTGCCTCTAGAGTAGACCTTCTCTGTGTATATTGGTCTAGTCCAGCTTCTCTGCTCATTTTTGCTTCTTTTAGTGCCATTTCTATCTCACAGAGATGTACATCAAGGACTGTGTTATTAGAATTCCACTGGGACTCCACTGTCAGTAGTAGAGAAAAAGAGTTTGTTATAGTAATATTGCCATCTCATTTCCATTTTTCATCTATTTGTTGTCTTCCTGCCAGTTTCACCCTTAAACATGCTTGAGATGATCTGAGTTAAATGGGTCTCTTGCCAACTTTTTATAAACTTGCTTTTCCTCCTAGTGCTTCTCACTTTTATGAAGCAACACAGTTCATAATCTTCCACCACCAACCTCTGTAAGATTTCACCAATCAGACTGTTCTAAACTTGTGTTGCCCTTGGCTGTTACATCTCAATGTTTGACAAGATCAAATGTTTGCTGGCTAAGTCGATTTCCAGGCTCTTTATTCTTCCTGATGTAGGGACTGATTTTTATCAGCTTAACTTTAAGAAACAGTGATGGTATCAATGTCTGTTCTTTGATTCCATGTCCTATTTTTCAGTGTCAATGGCTCATTAAAAAAGGTTATGATGGAACTGCCACATCAGCTTGCTTTTTATTCTGTCTTATGACTTGGTATTGCTTTTGATTTCTTGCTCTAATAAGTCAGTAATCTGAGTGTATACTGACCACTGATCTGGAAATGACTCTCATATCAAGAACCAACTATCAGAATATAAAAATAATTCAAAGCATCAAAAAGATTCATCTTTTGTGATTTTATTTGAAAATTAAAACAGCTCATTACCTATATAGTCACATTCTTAAAGTAAATGGCTGTAAAGATCTAGGTAGTAATCTTATCAATTACACATAATGATTCTTACCAGAGGGCTGCCTTCAAAGTCCTCTTTGCCACCTAGTGGCCTGAAACAGATTTCTGAAACAATTTCAACTAGCAAAAAGTGATTAACTCACCATAATTACATTGAGCTACACTAGATTCCAGAAGTAATTCCTACTCTTTTCCAATGTGTTCTGAAATGAGTCATTTGAAGTAAAATCCAATTTCAAGTAAAGAGCTACTTTGAGACTGCTATGATAAACAAAATTGATTTGAGACATATTTTTGAGTAAAACAAATTTTAAAGTTAAAATGAATTCTTACTTTCTTAAGGTATGCTTCACACATGGCTACTGCTTCAGCTGTTAAAATATATTTGTCTAGTCTGAAAATATACCCAACATGGGGGCAAAAAAGGAAGAATGTCCCTAAAATATCCAGGAAGAGAAACTGGGTTTATAAAAACACAGATAGATATAAAAATGGAAAATCTTTAAAACAATTAAAGGCTGCCAAAATAATTAAAGCTCCCAAACCCAAGCTCACAAATGTTTAACAATAAAACTAGAGAAAACTGTAAGTTACCTGATAAACAGTCTTTTCAAGTATTAAAGGAAAAGCCTCTAAGAAGCTTTTTAGTAAAACCTCTATTTCTCCTCACCCAGCCAAGTAAGTCACAAATGTGGCATTTTCCTTGTTCTCTCCCACTGCCCCCAGTCTGCCTTTCTGATATAGCTATGGATTTTGAATATGACAGGAAAAAAATTGTTAACTTACTGCGTCCTTCCTTAAAATTCCCTTAATGACGAGGACAGTGTTAAACTGATTGCTCTTACCTAAAACGACTCAGGCAACACTTTACCACTGAAGTTTCAATATTTTCTCCAGTATTTAAAAATTTTCTTTCAAAAGTTTACTTAGCTTCCACATACAGTATTTTTCTACATATTATTATAATGAATTGTCACCAAGAGTAATACACATGTGATTTTTAGCAAAATTAAGATTTTCCTATTGGGTTAAAATATGTAAATTAGGGGGTCAAATGTCTATTAAATATTTATCAAAGTATTCCTTTAAATAATGAATTTCCTAATACATATATTTGCATATAATTATTCAGGTATATATCTACTGTATAAAGTGAACAACCTCTATAGTTTTCTTTCACTTTTTTTTTTTTAAACTAGACCTATGATTCCATTAGTGCAGGAAGAGATCAGTGAAGAGCTCCCTTTACCAATGAAGAAGGCAACTATTTTGCAAATTCAAGGCAGAACTGTCTGGGGTACTGAAAGAGAAAGTGTGTAGGGTCACATGGCCACAACCAGTCACTCAGACAAGGACCTGAATCCAGGCCTCTCCTGACTTTGAGGCTGGTCACTGATCCACTACACCAGGGGTGGAGAACCTGTGCTCTCAAGGCCACATGTGGCCCTTTAGGTCCTCAAGTGTGGCCCTTTGACTGAATCCAAACTTCACAGAACAAATCCCCTTAATAAAAGGATTTGTTCTGTAAAAGTTGAACTCAGTCAAAAGGCCACACCAAGGACCTAGAAGGCCACTCGTAGCCTCAAGGCTGCAGGTTCCCCACCCCTGCACTAGACCATACTGCCTCTGAGACCTCTAGAAAATACTTCAGAAAACATCCCTTTGGGAACATTGTTTTCTACAACTTAAAGAATTGTTCTCAAATAGTCAGAGAGCATTACTCACTTTAGATATAAGAAAAATCAAAGAGAAATCCTCAAAACAGCCTGTCACCATTACACTTCCACCAGAGTGGTTTACCAGCAGAGATCACTTAAAACTAAAGTTGAAAAATTTCTGAAAAGTGACTGATTATGCATGTTAAAGATTAGTATCCTAGGTAAGTCTTCAACTTAGTACCATACCAAATATTATAAAGTTTAGAGTTTGTTTAAATAGTAAACAAGGTTAGGAAAATTTGGTATATATACATACCTTAACTGACTGCACGATGCTAATCCCTTGTTCAGTTTCTATTCTACAATCATCACACTCAGCTTCCTGCACCTTTACACAGCCAGTCCCTGATGTCCTGATATTCAAATCTAGAAACAAAGAAGGAAAGACAAGTTAGTACAATGGCTAATAAGCAGTAAGAGTATTTCAACATCCCTGCAAGGACAGCACCTCAGAGAGCAGGGCAGCCAATACTAGGTCTGGCATAAAAGACAAAGCAGCACAGTCAAAACAGACAACCTTCAGGGGCTGTCCAAAAGATAGCTCCACTATTTTACCCTTTGCAATGGCTTGGCAGAGAGGGGATGAAGCCACTTTTCCTCTACTCTTCAAAAGAATACTTGTTTGAGACAGGTATCAGTCTGACTAATAATACATGGGGCATTTATTACTATGAGTCTGGACAAGGGGCTGTGAAGTCACCTTATCTGTCTATCTCTAAGCATATATGGGACAATACTAATGAAAAAATACTGTATTAATGAAATACATTTGCCAAAAGAATGAAATGCATCAAAAAGAAAAATGTGATTTTTTTTTCCTACTGGATAATGGAAAGACCATTCTATGATCAGATCTGAATACCAGTGCAAAATGAAGAAGTAAATAGGAAAAGCAGTCCTGTTAACTGTTGTGTATTGCTCCTATTCATTAAGGAGTGAAGAAATCACTTTCCATCTGCGTTTACTAATAGCATGATCCTAGACAATTGAAGAAAAGAAACACATTTTCTGAAAATCAGAGAGATCCCAAGGACAAAATCTTAGCTATAACCCTATCCCCTTCAAAGATCCAAAATTTGATCACTGTAAGACCTTTCCCTCCCTCCCTATCTACAGCCTCCTGTTACAGGCTGTGACTTCTCCAAGCCTCAGTGGACTGTCCTCAAGAATCACTGTAGTTCTCTCCCCGCCCCCCGGTAATTATCTGGAAACCAATCCTCAGGTAACTTGCTTCTCTGTAATTAACTAGGTTGTTCCTGAGACAAGAGACATATCTTTCACCTACTGGTCCAGACCTGAAGCCTTTCCATCTGGTAGAACCCTCCAGAATTTACATTCCAATAGCATAAACTTCTAGAATTTAGTGTCACCCCACTACTACCACAATGAAGTGTCACAGTTGGCCATTAAGCAACACATAACCATGAGAAAATAACACTGAGATTAAGTCATATACTAATACCTAGATGCCCTCTCTGAGCCTAACACCAATAGGAAACTGAATGCTTCTTAACTACAGTGAAATCAAGGCCCCAAAGTTTGACAAACAGGGATTTATGCTTACATGTCACGTTACTTCAGAAGGTTCAAAGGTATTTTCTACACCCTTGTAAGGATAGCTCCTACTTGCTGAAATTTATAAAATCACTATCTAAAACTACTAGAGAGAGTGGGGTGGTCAATACTGAATCTATCACCAAAGACTAGAAGATTCTATCTTAAAGCAACATAATCAAAATGGACAACCTTGATTGGTTGTCAGAAATACTTCTACTCTTTTATTCTCTGAGATGGCAGGGCATGGGGAGGGAGGAAAAACTCTCTTCCCTCTATTCACTCTGCTCCTCAAGGATCCAAATCCTGAATGGGGGAGGGGGGGACAAGAGGAGACAAAAAGTGTGGGAACAAAAAAATTCCCAGAAGAGCCATGGCAGACTAGTGTTGTTTCTCCTACAGAATTTATCAGTACCAAAGTGAGATCTATGAATTAGGGCAATTGGTTTATATAATATATAAAGAAGAAATGAAACAAACCAGGAATAGGATTAGTATCTGTACGGAGACCAAAGTGAACTAACTTATAAATCCTTCCAGTTACACTGTTCTAATAAAACAATAAAAATATCTAAAATATCACCTAAAAAGTGTCATTATTAAAACCAACAATCAAAAAGTAGTCAAGAATACAGAAGGTAATTTCAGAATTGAAATAGTTCTTTAACAATTCATTAGATTATACACACACACATACACATATGCAGACATATGCACACATGCATGTAAATATATGTCTATACAAATACACATGTGCACATGCATACATATAGTATAAGACTGGATGTATAGGGAAGGTGCCCTTTACAAGTTCTGAAAATGGATAGAGAAATGAAGATACAAATTTGAACTTTGCCCAGAAAAAAGTATGTTCAAGCATAGCCAAATAGCACTGGGCCAGCCAGCCTACAAAAATCTCTACATAGCTGGCCTCGTATACATTGACAAATCAACCAACCACTGACATAGCTAAGGGAGTGTGGTCTCAGCCTCCTACATTTTTATACTTCATAACGATTTTTTGAGGTCTCATTAGTACAAATATCTGCAGATAATCCTGATTAGTCTGTACACCTCTGCTTGAGATGAGAACTTTCTTAAAACTTGGATCAAAAAGCATATTAGAAAAAGGTGATTTCAAATGTTAAGATTCGGATTTGATTTCACCTCCACCACTTACTATGTATGTGACAATGGTGAACTCATCTCACATTTCCTGATCTTTGTTTTGTTTATTTAAAAAAATATATGGGCAGTATATCTTTACTGTGTGCTATACCACGTTTTAGGGAAGTTTTGTAAACCTTAAATCTATATATAAATGTGAATTATTACTTTTATTATATTAATGTGTAGTGCTATTAATGTATTAAACAAGTCCTCCACTAAAGTCATATTCTTATACATTATTGTAGGCCTATTGTGGGTAGAAACTGCTCTGTCTACAGCTCTAAGATTCTAACTACACTGACATTTTCAGCTCCCAACAAGTATGACTACTTAACATGTTAAGGTGAACTAAAGTTCATGTATAGGGCAGAAAAATACCCAATGTGCTAGGTCTTACCACGTTGGAAAAGGTGTTGACTATGGTATTGTGAGTCTGTTGTCCTAGAACCAGTCTAAGTGAAAGGTAGCCATCAGGTACAGAATTTTTCTCCCTATCAGGGCAACTGAAATGTAAAGGGGTTACAATCTATATCAGTAAAGAAAGTACCACACCAATAAAATCATGTCCCTTCCAAAGTGTCAAAGTAACAGTATTAAACAAGTACTAAACATGAACTCAAGCTATAAATTCAATTTTTTTCTATAACACTAAATTTGTTCTGTAAAGGACTAAGTAATATAATAAGCTTTCTCATCTCAAAATGGTGACCAACACCAACTAAATGAATAACTACTGAAATTAAGGGACTGTAAAGCACTCTGAAAATATGAAATGCTAAGAAATGCCAATGTGACCACTGTGTACGTGTAAATAGCTGCAAAATTGAAAAATAAAGTATTCTTGGTTCTACCAATCAAACAACTTAGTAAATCACAATAGTTAAATCACAATAGCTCTGTAAAGCAAAGGACACTGACATTTAATATATAACCCACAAGATACCAAGAATTAATGGAATCTCTCTCAATATATGCCAAAGAGTCAAGCACTATATTAGCCCCTCCCTAATCCTGACATCAATACATCAAGGAGCCATGAGTTTATTGCAGTGCACACTCCTTCCATCTAGGCATTTTGCCTTCTCTTTATACCTTAACAGACTACCCTAATGAATGGCTGTTTCCCCAGCAAATTTAACACCCCCTGGTCAGTGAGCCTCTCTACAATTAGACGAGTCCTCCTCACACAATAGACAAGTCATCTGTCACCTTCCTAGTACTGGAAGCTTTTCTGGTTCAATAGGTCCTGCCAGATCTTAAGCTCAGCTGGCACTGACTCAGAAAACTAAAGGTTACAAAAGCAATCAGATTTGCTAAAACACAAACTCTGAAAATCTGAGTAGTTAATACATCAAATAATTTCCCAGTAATGTAGATAAATTTTCTATTTAATATCGGCTTAAAATTAATAGTAATATATAATTTAAATTAGTTTTTTAGATTGTTTAGCAAATCTGGGAGTTTTTTTTTTAAACCACCTCAGTAAGTAGATGATATTATTTTAAAATCTAGAGGCTGCTCTGCAAAACCTAACTGGCTAACAGTTCCCAAATATTTAGGAACAATTAGTAATAGACCTCTATTATTACTTTCTAAATAGTAATGACTCTTTATACTCATCATCTCCTCTGAGGCTTATAAAAACCCAGTGATGCAAGCAATATGTTTAAATATCAATGATAGGATCATAGAGCTACAGCTGGAAGAAACCTTGGAGGTTATTTAATCCAACCCCCTCATTTTTACAGATAAGGAAACTGAGTCCCAAAAAGATGAAGGGACTTGCTCAAAGTCACCCAGATTATTCCCTGGCAGTTCCAGAACTGGAATTTACATCCTCTGGGTCCAAATCCAGTAGGCTTTCCACAACACCATCAGGACTAAGATTCAGAGAAATTAAGGTCACAAATCTTTCAAGTTGCAGAGCTAAGATCTGAACTGCCTTTAAGTCCAGTGTGAAGTAAAGGGGACCAAAGTGAATTAATGTTTCCAATTACACCTGTCCATTAGAACAACCACAAAAACATCTAAAACATCATCTGAAGAGGGTCATTATTAGTGGCACATCTAGGATCTGAAGTCTCCACAGAGTCCCATCTTTTGTAATAACTGAGAAATCTAAACTCTGCAGAGGATATAAGCCCTCTACCAATCATTTGCTCAAAAAGTTGGTTGCCCCCATGCTGCAGTTGCTTATAGGCTGAATGAGAATACAAGTTCAACGCCCATGCCCATTTCCTTTAGCAGCCAATAACTACCTAGGTCTTGGTACTCTTAGGATCAAAATATTTAACAAAATGTAAAGCACACACGTCCCTTCTTTACTTTGGAAGTCAAATAAATGCCTAGGTGCCATTACTGTGGACCTAATGAGATTACAAATTTAAAGCGCTATATTACTGCTAGCTACTATTATTATTGCTACTAATACTATAATAACAGGGCTAGGGAGACTGTGTATTGCGGAGAAAAAGATGGCTGAATTTGGAATTAAAGGTCCTGGGTTCGAATCACCTGCGTAACCTTGAACAAACCATTGGACGACCTCGGCTGGGCCTTCGCAGCTTACACTCCGTGACCCTGCGCAGCGCGGGGGTCCGAGCTCCCTCAGCGCTAACCCTCCGGGCTTACCGAATTTCATGGGGACCTTCACCTCCACCGAGGCCTGCTGGCTGATGCTGTCCGAGACGATGGCCATCTGCTTCAGGGCCTCGTCGTACCTCACCTGGATGCTGTCCAGGTCCAGGCTGCCGCCCTCCACGCCGCTCACCGTGACCAGCACCCGGTCCGAGTCCGGGTAGTGGTAAGGGTCTAGGGGTCTCACGGCGATGTCGCACGGCAGCCGCGCCTGCAGCCGCCCGAACGGGTTGACTATCAGCGTCCACTCCTTGAGCGGGGTTTTGCGAGCGACCACGGGCTCGTTCAAGGGGCTCCTCTCCAACCGGCTGCAGGGTCTGGCTGGGGGGACTCGGCGCACCGCCGCCGGGGCCGCGGCAGCCCGGAGCCCGGCCCAGAGCCCTAAGGGGCCGAGCTGGGGGCCGCCTCGCCACCAGCCGGGGCCGGGGATAAGCATGATCCCGGCTCAAGTCTGGCCCGAGGTCACCACAGCTCCGCGTAGGAGTCCCCTGGCCGCCGCTGACCCGGCGAGGCTAACGGAGTAAGGAACGCACGACGGGTCAGCGTGGACTGTAATGAACCCCCGAGCCCCATAAATCGAGCCTAGCCACCCCACCGCAATCTGCCTGCCCTGCACTGCCTGCCACTAACAACTCCAGACCCCAGAAGAAATTAAAACCCCAGGTCAGAATTCCCCAGTCTTCAACCACAAGGTGGCTTTTGACCCTCTCAACCCCTCAATATCCCCGTGGGCAGACGGGATAGGTAGTTCTGAACCGCATAAAGAGCGTGGGGTTCTAGGCACTCATTAAACTACAACTCCCAGAAAGACCGCTCCTGAACCAGCGGGGCGTATTGCTGGGGGCGTATGCAAATAAGAGGGAAAGCTTGTTAGTACGCAGCTGACTGGTTATGTCCTGTGCCTCGAGCTCATTGGTCTACAGTTGTAGGAGGGGTGCGGAGGACCCTTGCCAGCCAATAGGAAACCTGGAAACAACCGATGTGTTGGAGTTACGTGGTCTCCATGGATACAGGGGACGCGGCGGCTGAGGCCCTAGAGAGAGCGACTCCTGCAGTGGTGCGGGAGAAAAAGGGCAGAAATTCCCAAAGTCGAAGCAGCCAGCACTGGAAAGAAAGGGCCAGAGGAAGAGGGTCTGTATTGCCGAAAAGGTAAGAAAATGAGCCATTGGAATGTGGGAGTAACAGGGGAGGAACATGTGGGAGGCGGAGTCCAAACCTTATGGGCAACGCCCTGAGGTAAAGGAGAGGGGAACTAAGAATGAAAAAAACACACACACACATATATGTTTATATACATATGCGTATATACTTATACACGTATACATGTATATATGTATACATATGTGCATACACATATGTATAGATGTGTATACGTCTGTATATGTGTGTATGTATATACATGTGTGTATGTATATATGTGTATATGTATATAAATATACATAAATATATATATTATTTTAGCAAATATTGTTTCTTTTTCCTTACCCATTCAGTCGCTCTGTGTCTTGGGCAAGTCACTTCACCTTCAGTTTCTTCATCTGGAAAAGGAGGCTAGATTATGTGATCTCTTAAGTTTCTTTCTAGTTTCAGTAGTCTATGAGTCTATGACTGCAGCCCTATCCTCATTTTTTCTCTTTTCCATGACCACCTTCCCCAGTGAATTATTTCCAACTCTCATTCATATAGTCACAAATTATCGTTGTTGTTTTGCTATCGTTAATAATTATAACACCAAATCTGAACTTCAGAAGTTCCACTTGTCACAGAATGTAAAAATCAAAACATTGTAGAAGTAAGATGAGGATATCTTAAGACTGGATAGGGGGCCATATTATTTTGCTGGCCATTGCATACATATTTAAGTTTATTTACCTGCTTCATTCTTCTCAATATACTTTTAGATGAATTAATTATTTACAATTTTTAGGCTTCATTGTCTTATTTCACTTACAAAAATTTGTATCCATAACTCTTTTGAAATTATTATCAAAGAACTTTTAAGCACTTTAAAAATTCAGTTAAACTTCATGTACAACTGTCAAAATCTTTATAGACCCACTGATAGCACACTCTTTAGTTTAATTCCTTCTCTGTGATGCATCAAGCTATCCGTGATGTATTAAACTGCTTGTGGGCAAGAAAACTTAGGCATTGTTGTCACACTAGTAAGCATCTGATAGTCACAAGAATGAAACCCAAAATCAGAAATAATTTTGAAAAGAAACTTATTTAGTAGAAGGGTTCTAAGAATATTCAAACCAACCGCACTAAGGCGTTAAGCTGTTTTGTACAGTGGACGAAACAGTGGGAAAGTCTACAGAGATGTGTATCAGTAAGCACAAATATTCAAATTTAGGTAGTTTGAGATGTAAACATAAACATTCACAACACAAGCATTGGGTGGACTCAAGACCTGGGTGGGATTTAAGTATTCCCTGTAGCCATTCAGCTACCCTGAGAGCATCTCTGAGGTCAGCCATTTTCTAGCCGCATCAAGGTAGGTTCAAACAATGTAATAAACACATTTCAATAAACATGTATTTCCAAAACATATAATAAAAATATTTCCCTATCTACCCCCTTTTAAGCAAAATGAATGTCTATGTTAGAAAATTTTTTCTTGATCATATACAGTTTTAAAAATTCACTAGAATTATGTGAGAAGTTATTACTACTAAGATATGATGGTACTCCTACTATTTGTTTTCTTATTTTTCCTTTAAAAGCAATGTGGAGTAGTGGATAACAAGCCAGCTTGGTTTCATGAAAATAGACCTACTTCTGATACCACTTGGGTAACCTTACGCAAGTCACTTCACCTCTTCCTCAGGCAACTTCCTAGGGCCTTTCTACTAGAATATGTAGATGGGCTGAAATCTACTTTGGTGGGAAAATTTCCCTAAAGTGAGTAAATCACAAATTCCTAGTGTATTTTCTTCAGTACCTTTTTTACAATTGAACTTTTGAAGAAAAAAAAATAAAGCAAAATAATTTTACCTAATGCTTTGAGTTTATGAAACATAGCTTTATACATCAGTGCTTCTATCAAATTTGGAAGATGAAAATAAACTTTGAAAAAAATCTTTAACAGTAAAAATTCAGAAAGGTCATTTCTTTTTCTTATTTAGTTTCTGTCTTTAGGTTTCATAAATTAATCCCAGAATGAATGGTTTTCTGGAAGAGAAGAATTAATTTAAAAAAAAGGTGTAGATTGTTTTCCCACTAAAATTTTAATACAATTGGATTTATTCCTACTTTTTCAGTGATTTGTATTTCAATTTATAATAGCAAAAGAAAAGTTTTAGGAAGAATGTATAAGCTGTTTCCTCAGGAAAACCTCATTAATTGAAACTAAATGAGGGGATATTTGAGTTAAAGAATATTTAAAATGCATATTTATTACTTCCTTATTTGGGGAATAGGGTAGAAAGTTCCAGGACCTGTGGGGAGAACTCTCTGTGTGGAGACTTCTGCCACAGTTGCTGAGCAGCAAATTCATCTGTAATTTTTAGCCTTAGAGAGAATATTAATTTCAAATCTGTTATAAAAGTGATAGGTCCCAAATACCTTAGGATTGGTTGTAAATTATAGGCAAGTGTTTGATTCCATTTTCTTTATATCTGTTAGATTGTAAACTTGGACAGTGGGGATTTGGTTGTTTTTCGTAGTCGTCACTAAAGTGTCAGTAATTTTAATTTACTTTTAATCAGTAATTTTAATTAGTACTACTACTTTGAGTTGTGTGGATTTTTCTTAAAATGAAAAGAATCTATCAAGTTGTCCTACCTGTTTCAATTCCTGAATTTGACAGCAAATGCCTCTCTGAATGAATGACTCTGTAGTAGGCCATCATATTACTAAGGGAAAAGGCAAAGAACCCATGGACAAAACTTATGTAACAAAATGAGATTTATTGAACGATGTTCTCTACAGCCAACTGAAGCCACAAGACTGAGGCCAGGGTTATTGCAAGTTTTGATACAGCACAATTCAGGGATAGGGATGTGATTAGGTCCTCAATAAAAATAACTTCCCAGATTTCTTTCTTTCTTTCTTTCTTTTTTTGGTACAGTAACAGTAAAAGTCCTATCTTTGACATGTTCCCTTATTTTGTAAGAGTCTAAAGGACTGAACATTGGGGAAGAAGCAATGTTCTATTACCTTCTCTCCTAGGTATACAGTTTTGGATCTTCTATCTAAAATAACCTCAGCTCATTCCACCTCTCTCTATGCCTCACTCCTACGTCTGTTCTTTGCCCTCCATAAAACCTCTATTCTCTCCGTCAGTCAGTGCTTTCTTAGGCCATTACTCTTGTTCTGACTTCACTTTTCTCATTCTTTCGCCTCAACCCTCTAGTCAGCTCTTTCAATTCCACACTGTCCTCTGCTCTTAAATCCCTCACCCCCTTGTCCTCTGGCTAAACCTCAGCCGTGAATTATTCCTACCATATTCCTTCTGCACCTACTTACAAATTGCTGAATGAAGCTGGTGGAAATGCTGATTGGGTATGTTACAAAAATCATGTTATCCAACCTAACCTGGGCCCTCACTGCAATGAGGTAGTACTTTTATTCCCATTGATTTATTCCCTTTCTGCCTGGAATGTACATCTTCCTTACCCCTACTTCATAGACTCCCTTTCTTGCTTTCAAGGCAAACACTGTCTTCTATATGAAGCTTTTTCTGATCCCTCCAAATGCTAGTGCCCTCCATCCTACTAGTAATTACTCTGTATGTATTAACTTTATATTTATGCTGTATATCCCTATTAGAATGTAAACTCATTGCAGTTAGGGAACCTTTTATTCTTCTTACACGTATCCCTAGTGCCTAGTTCAATGTCTGTCACACAGCAGACCTCAATAAATACTTATTGATTGGCTGATTTATTTATCTTTTTATTTATTTAATTTTTTTTTAGGCAATTGGGGTTAAGTGACTTGCCCAGGGTCACACAGCTACTAAGTGTCAAATGTTTGGTCTGAGGCCGAATTTGAACTCAGGGCCTCCTGACTTCAGGGCCAGTGCTCTGTTCACTGCACTGCCTACCTGCTCCTGATTGACTGATTTATTGAGGATTTTAATTGTTGGTTAGCCATGAAGCCTTTTTATTTGGCCATTTTCTGCCCTGCCACCTGCTGTCACTCCACCTTCCAAACTGTATCTCTAGAGGCCATTCCTGGGAGGAGCTTAGTCAGTCTTAGCACTACTGGGCACCTTTCGACTTTCTCTTTACCGTCTACCCTTCAGCTGTGTGTATACTTTTGTAACTTCTGCTTTCTACCTTTTGTTCTCAGAACTGCAATCAGATCATCACTACTTTGAGCTTAACTGACCCACCATCTTCGTGTCTTCCCCAGCACAAATTCCCTTTCCTGGCCACTGCATCCTCATTTATATCATGCTCCCCTATTAGAATGTAAACTCATTGAGAGCAGGGACTTTTGTATTTGTATTTCTAGAACTTAAACTAGAGTTTGGCACCTATTAAACTGTTAATAGGTGCTTTTCATTCATTCATTGATAGGGTAAAGGAGTAAGAGAGGGAAGTGAGAAGAAAGCTTGCTTCATCCCATGGCTGATTCTGGACCTGTTCACATAGCTAATCATGGCTATGGCAAAGTACAAAGTCATGCTACCCACTTTTCTAACCTTATTATTCATATTATTCATCTTTGTATACTCTGTGATC